TTTAAAATGTTTTCATAGTTTCCGCACTATGTGGAGTTTTTTATTTATGAAGTGAAATAATGGATGAAGGTAAATTCTGTAGAAGTTGTGATTGATACTTGGGGTCCATCAAGTTGATCATCAGTGTCCATACTGGAACCAAAAGCACAATTAGACCAAACATATTATTATGTGAGGTCACATGGCTGGAGGTGAGCAGACATCCTGGAGGCGGAGTATATGGCCGTTCATGGTTTGGAGCACTGGGTGTTTACTTACGGAAAAAAGGCTGGAAGCATTTCAATGAAGATTTATAAACTTTTTCACACATTTGCATTTTTGTGATTTACAGTTTTGTCATTTATTATATTGTAGCGTTGCACTTATTATTTATTGTATTTTGAAGTTAGGCTTTAAAATGGTAGTAAAGTCCACTTTTTTATTTATACATATAGGAAAGACTATAATAAGGCTTACCCGTAGGCAGGGGTGTATTTACCGCAAGGCAAACAAGGCATTTGCCTAGGGCGGCATTTTTCATGGGGGCAGCACCCCCCAAGGAAGAAGAGACATATTCATCATAGGGACCAGGTGGGATCTGAAAGAGGATGCAGGATGCCTTTTGGTGTATGCAGAGCCTGGCTCTCGTTCCCAGGGATATCCGTAGCTGTGAGGGTGAGTGTCTTTCTCTCTGTTGCGGGAGGAAGGGGGTGGGGGGTGTTAGTGAAAGTCTCTCGGGTGGGTGTGGGGGGGCAGGGGTGTTGTTGCTCACTGCCTGTAGGTACAGTACATATCTCCTAAATGTACACCGTTTAAGAGATATTTACTTTAGTAGCAACTGGTGACATCACTGGCGCATGCGCACTTCACTCTGAATGGATGGCATGCCATCCATTGAGAGAGCTGTCTCTTGGCCACGACGTCATTATGGCTTGGCCATTTAAATGCCTGCAGCCCAAGAACCTGGAAGGAAGACCGGGTGAAGATAAAAGCCCTGTCAGCGGTTAGAGGGCTTTGTTTTAAGGTAAGTCTGTGATAATGTGCTAGTATGCGATGCATACTAGTACACTATGGCATTATCCTGCAGGGGCCCATTTTTTTGTTTTAGTTTTAACTTCTTTGTCACCTACCAAAAGACCATTAGAAACTACATTTTCATCAAAGACAAACTTGTCCAGGGTGACAACTCTGCTGCAGAACAATGGGTGTTGTCACCACGTTAAAGGAAGTGGAAGTATACTGAATCCACTGGAAGAATCAACAAGTAAAACTATGTTACAGAGGGACTAAGAAAATGAAAACTACTCTTTTTAATGCTAGTGACAGAATACATCATATACAGTGAGGAACAGAAGTATTTGAACACCCTGCGATTTTGCAAGTTCTCCCACTTAGAAATCATGGAGGGGTCTGAAATTCACATTGTAGGTGCATTCCCACTCTGAGAGACAGGATTTAAAAAAAAAATTCAGGAAATCACATTGTATGATTTTTAAAGAATTTATTTGTCTTGCACTGCTGAACATAAGTATTTGAACACCTGAGAAAATCAGTGTTACTATTTGGTACAGAAGCCTTTGTTTGCAATTACAGAGGTCAGACGTTCCTGTAGTTCTTGACCAGGTTTGCACTGCAACAGGGATTTTGGCCGACTCCTCCACACCGATCTCCTCTAGATCTGTCAGGTTTCGGGACTGTCGCTGAGCAACACGGAGTTTCAGCTCCCTCCAAAGATGTTCTATTGGATTTAGGTCTGGAGACTGGCTAGGCCACTCCAGAACCTTGATATGCTTCTTACGGAGCCACTCCTTGGTTATCCTGGCTGTGTACTTCGGGTCGTTGTCATGTTGGAAGACCCAGCCACGACCCATCTTCAATGCTCTGACTGAGGGAAGGAGGTTGCTGCTCAAAATCTCACAATAAATGGCCCCATTCATCCTCTCCTTAATACAGTGCAGTCGTCCTGTCCCCTTCGCAAAAAAGCACCCCCAAAGCATGATGTTACCACCCCCATGCTTCACAGTAGGGATGGTGTTCTTGGGATGCAACTAGTCCTTCTTTTTCCTCCAAACATGACGAGTGAAGTTTAGACCAAAAAGTTCTACTTTGGTCTCATCTGACCACATGACTTTCTCCCATGCCTCCTCTGGATCATCCAGATGGTCATTGGCAAACTTCAGACGGGCCTGGACATGTGATGACTTGAGCAGGGGAACCTTCCGTGCAATGCATGATTTGAAACCATGACGGCGTAGTGTTCTACCGACAGTGACCTTTGAAACTGTGGTCCCAGCTCTCTTCATGTCATTGACCAGCTCCTCCCTTGTAGTTCTGGGCTGATTCCTCACCTTTCTTATCATCAGTGATACCCCTCGAGGTGAGATCTTCCATGGAGCCCCAGTCCGAGGGAGACTGACAGTCGTCTTTAGCCTCTTCCATTTTCTAACAATTGCTCCAACAGTTGATCTATTTTCACCAAGCTGCTTGGCAATTGCCCCGTAGCCCTTTCCAGCCTTGTGGAGGTCCACAATTTTGTCTCTGGTGTCTTTTGACAGCTCTTTGATCTTGCCCATGGTAGTAGTTGGTGTCTGACTGACTGTGGGGTGGACAGGTGTCTTTAAAGAGCTCAGACAGGTGCTACTAAGTTAGATTAATGAGTGGAGTAGAGGTGGACTTTTTAAAGGCACAGTAACAGGTCTTTGAGAGCCAGAATTCTTGCTGTTTCTTAGGTGTTCAAATACTTATGTTCAGCAGTGCAAGACAAATAAGTTCTTTAAAAATCATACAATGTGATTTCCTGAATTTTTTTTTAAATTCTGTCTCTCAGAGTGGGAATGTACCTACAATGTGAATTTCAGACCCCTCCATGATTTCTAAGTGGGAGAACTTGCAAAATCGCAGGGTGTTTCAAATACTTCTGTTCCTCACTGTATGTTGTTTTTTTATTTTGCCAATTCCACTTTAGTATTGTGTGTTTGAACAGTCTGGATAGTCTATGCTACGAATAGACCTGAATAGCAGGTAATCAAAGAGTTCTGGCATAGGGCAGAGTTTACCTTGGAAAAAAATGTTTCCCAGGATAATATTCTGTGGGTATGCTGACAGCACCAAGCACTAGCCCAAAAAAATCACCAAGGTATTACAGTGAGATCTGCTGTCATTACAGGTGCTCTTTATGCACCAGAGTGCCTTGAGTCATGAAATAATATTGTAAAGTATCTAATAAAATGTTTGTGACATAAGTCTGACAAAATGCAGGTAGGGGTATTGGGGAGAGCCAGTTTGGGCACTGAAAGGGTACCTGAATAATCAACAAGTATCCCAAAAGAGGTGACTGATGAGAGATAGATTGGTTTCTGCTCACAAATCGGAAGAGTTTTCAATCAGTCAGGGCTCCTATGAAGGCAGATATGCCAGGACAGGGCCACTGATAGGGGAAGAGGGTAAATTAAATACTTCCATGCTACGCCCAGGCCCCATCATGTCAGCAAGGGGCAGCAAGCCTAAAAGGACTACATGTAGGCTGTACTTTTAAGCAGACTCCCATGTACTCCTCCAACTCTCCTTGCCAGTTGGCACTTTGCTTGAGCCAAGCATGGCCTTGGTGACTCTCCTGCTGTTGATGTTAGTCCAAGCATCCTTGCAACCAACCGATCCTCTGCTCAGAGTCCCTGCACATGTGCACTGCACTCCCAACCTGGGCAGTCTGTGTGGTCCCCGTTGCATGCACAGTGGGAGCTCCTCTCCTATTTGGACCACACAGAGAGAGGAGAGCAGTACAGGAAGGTGAGAAAGAGCCATTTGAGTGAGAGCAGGGTGGAGAGACTCCAGTGATAGCTGATGGGTCATGGGGAAGGGATGCAGGCAAAAGAAGGGGGTGGCAAAATTCTGCATAGGTGCTCCATTGGGTAGTCTGCTGGTAGCCCCATTCTCATCATCATTCCCAGAGCATCCCAGTGTTGTGACCTTGCACCTAGGTGGTCCACTGCTGGGCTATTAAAGGGCATTATCTATAGCCTGACAGCATATCTCTAAGAGGAATACTGTATGTCCACCAAGAGTCCAGGCAGATGACAAGAAAAATGTAGAAAGTTCTTTTGCTTCTAAAGTAATCACTAAACCAGGGGTGGACTGACCATTTGAAAACTCAGGCACTGCCCGAGGGCCCTGGGTCAGTAGGGGGCCCCATGAGATGCCCCGGTACCTTTTTCATAGCTTTTTTTTTTGAGTTTGGGCAAGGACACAGGGGCCCTATGATCCCTTATTGCCCGGGGGCCCCATGAGTTGTCAGTCCGCCCCTGCACTAAACTATGAGAACATTGGACTAAAAGGAGATTCAAGGGGTGCATACTACACAAAATGCTCCACTGCCCTGTGTCTAATAAAGGTTAAAAAAAGAATTCTTGGATGAAAAAAAAAATGTTACAAAATTGATGGACATACAGAGAAGGGTGGGGGGCACAGCTGTCAGGTAGACTGTACGGGGCCCTATGATAATGGTGGCCCTATTCAGAGAGGTGGTGTTCAGGTCTGTTCTAGGCAGACAGGTACCTAAGCCTGACATTTTAGTTTGGAACAATGCTGGGAGTGAGACTACACCAGGCAGTAAGGTAAGGTAGCTAGGAGTCTCTAAATCTTAGATCCATTTGAAATAACCACAGCAAGAGCGTACTTTAGTGTTTATTCTGCTTTGCAGACTAATAAAAGTGGTCAGGAAGCCCCAAACAATGCTTTAATAAGCTGACTGACTTCTTTGAAGGCTCTCTTATTGATGCTGATCCCTGCGTATTCTATTATTTTGCAGAAAATCACAGACTATTCAAGAGGACATTTAAAAAGGTAAGTGGTAATTATTTAGCACCTGCTGGTTGGGTCATACACTATAGCAGGGGTATTGAATTAAAATTCAAGAAAGTCCGGTCACTAAAAAAATTTTTCCGGCCTAGGTCCATATCTCAAGCTTGTGCTATGACATCAGAGTGCCCCCTTTAAATCAGGTGTCCCCATCAGAGCGGCCACTTACATCAGGTGTCCCCATCAGAGTGCCCCCTTACATCAGGTGTCCCCATCAGAGCGGCCACTTACATCAGGTGTCCCCATCAGAGTGCCCTCTTACATCAGGTGTCCCTATCAGAGTGTCCACTTTACATCAGGTGTCCCCATCAGAGTGCCCCCTTACATCAGGTGTCCCCATCAGAGTGCCCCCTTACATCAGGTGTCCCCATCAGAGTGCCCACTTACATCAGGTGTCCCCATCAGAGCGCCCACTTACATTAGGTGTCCCCATCAGAGTGCCCACTTACATCAGGTTTCCCATCAGAGTTCCCCACTTACATCAGGTGTTCCCATCAGAGCGCCCACTTACATCAGGTGTCCCCATCAGAGCCCCCACTTACATCAGGTGTCCCTGTCAGATCAGGTGTCCCTCATGCCCATTTACATCAGGTGTCCCCATCAGAGGCCGGCACTTACGTCAGGTGTCCCCTGCAGAGACTGCCCCTTACATCAGTGTCCCCATCAGAGTGCCCATTACATCAGGTTCCCCCATCACAGTGACCCCTTACAAAGGTGTCCCCATCACAGTGCCTCCCTTACATCAGGTGTCCCCCATCAGGTGTGCCCAGCCCCCTTACATCAGTTGTCCCTGTCAGAGTGCCCACTTTACATCAGGTGTCCCCATCACAGTGCCCCTTCCATCAGGTGTCCCCATCAGAGTGCCCTTTTACATCAGGTGTCCCCATCAAGTTTTCCCTACTTACATATAGGTTCCCCCAGAGCGCCCACTTACATCAGGTGTCCTCATAAGAGTACGGCCATTTACATCAATGTCCCCATCAGACCGCCACTTACGTCAGTGTTTTCTGCACCCAGACTGCCCCATTACATGTTGGGACACACTGAGTGCCTCCCACATTTCATGGTAAGGGACCACTGATGGGCATCATTGTCTCCATTAAGTGACCTCTGATGGGTCATTGTATTGTCCCCATGTATTCTTTTGCCAGCAGAATGCCCCTTGGTGCATCATTTTTTTACTCCAAAGAAACTTTACTGATTAAACTCATCGCTAGTGTCCCCTGGTATCGTAAAAGACCCCTTTTTCATGCATATTTCCCTTCGGATAATTTCACATGAGCTGTCGTGATTGGCTCTCGAAAGCTGTGTACTAACAATCAATTCTCATGTTAAAGGAATGCCCTGGAAAGCGGCATTTTTCATGTTAAGGGACTCACTGTGATGTACAGATTTCAAGTTAAGGGATTGCATAGAATGTGCACATTACATGTTAACAAAGACTGATGGGCAAATTCTCCTGCAAGGGACGCAACAACAGACCCTCCATGCAAAGGGACGCCCTGAAAAACAACAGATTTCAGCAATAATAGACGCACCCATGGGCACAACAGTTATCCCCCCAGCAATAATAGACCTCCTGCAACAGAATATCCCCCAGCAGCAACAACAGATCCACCGCAGGAACGCAACCCCTGCCAGCAAATTTATGATCTCCCAGCAGCCAGCACTGATAGACTTCTTGTCAAAGGGATCCCGCAGCTGCAATGACCCCATTTCATGTTAAGGGACCCTCTCAGCAACATTAGATCCCCAATGTTAAGGGAACACTGAATCTCCAAGCAGTCAGCATCATGTTACAGGGACCCTTCAGCGCACCCCAGTTAACCCCTGACGCACTTATATACATTCATGTGCTGGAGGTGCACAATGCATGTCCCCCACATTTCATGCTAAAAACACCTACGTATAAGAACATAGACATGTTAAGTGAACAGATTAATGCACATTTTGCTGTCCTAAAGGACACCTGATGTCACTAACATTTAGTTAAGGGACAACTGAAGTCACCTGTCAAAAAGGGAACACTGATGTACTTCACATTTCTAGTGGGTAAGGGCACACTGATGGGTACATTGACACTTCTGGGTGTGTCATGATATCGTGTTCCCTGTTGGGTGCCGTATTCCTCCTGCTAACCTCTTCATCACTACATTTTTTACGGAAAAAACTTTACTGATTAAACAAAAATCGTTAGTTCTGGTATCGTACAAGAAACATTCTCATGCATTAGATGAACACTCCTCGTGATAATTTCACATGAGTACTCGTAATGGAAGAACTCACGAAACATCGACTAACATGATCTAGTTTTATTGGTCAGAAAATGCTTGGAAAGCGGTAGTTTTCATCCGATTTTTACTCATTGTGTGTACTAGGCTTAAGTAGATTGTAGAGAATATGTTACTGATAACCAAAAAAGAAGAAAAATAGATCTGCTGCACTGCAACAATAGACCGGCCAGCAACAGTAGACCCCAACAATGACAGATCCTCCCAGCAATAACGCGCTCTCCAACAACAGGTCCCCCAGCAATAATAGATCTCCGTGATCGCTGTGTCCCACGGACACAGCTGATCACCGTGATGTGGTAAAAGGCCAATCACAGCGGCCTTTTACCAGCGTGATCAGATGTCCAATGCACGCTGATCAGAGGGAAATGCAAGTGCCCGTTCTCAGCTGCACTTTCCTCACGCTGTCAGATCGTGAGGAAAGTACTGCCGAGAACCAGCAGTTGTCAGAGCAATTGGCAACCGATTATCAGGGCACTGATGAATAAGTAGACCCTGAAAATCCCCCAGCAACAACAGATGCCACCCGCAAGAACAATCGCCCCCTGTGCCAGCAAAAATAGATCGCCCAGCTAGCTCCGCCCACCTGTGCCCAGTAGATCCCCCAAAACAACTGATCCCCTCAGCAGTGACCCCCTGTGCAACAGCAGATGCACCCAGAAATGTGCCACTCTGCAGTGCACACACCTATCCCCCAGCAACAACCTACCCGTGCCCACAATGCCACCCACCTGTCCAGCAAACCTAGATCCCCCAGCAGCCAGCAACCTAGACTCCTTCCCACCAGTGCTCCCTACCAGTGCCACCCACCACTGCAGCACCATAAGTGCCCAGTCAGTGCACCATCAGTGCCCAGTGAAAACAAATCTGCAAGCAGTCAGTGCCCAGCAGTGATGCCCTTCAGTGCCGTCTATCAGTACCCATCATCATTCTGTGTGTCACCGATCAGTGCCGCCTATCAGTGCTGCATATGCATCCCCCCACTATCTGCTGTGCCACCCATTAGTATAAGAACATGGACCCTTTAGAGTGAACTATAATGTGCCCATTTTGCTGTCCTAAAGTGCCCTCAGTTACTAACTCATAACGCACATCTGTGAAGGAGCAAAAGAGGAAACCTGGCTACAAATTTCTATGGGTGGGCACCAGAAACATTTTTTCTGGGTTGTTTCAAATCGTTTCCCTTGCCGTATTTTAACCTTTCATTATAGCAGCAGAAAAAGTACTAAGCAAGCCTATCATCATTAGATGTAACACTCAAAAGAAACTCATTTGTGATGCACAAAGGTACTCAAAATTGGATAGGGTACACATAACATCGACTACACATGATTAGTTTTATTTGGTGGATAAAAATGAAATGCTTAGTAATTCTGCCTTTTATTTTTACTTTGGGGTAGTGCCACTGGCAAGTCCTTAACAGCCCATTCACACTTGTGCGACTTGTCATGCGACTTTGTGGTCCAAAGTCACATGACAAGTCTCAACCCATGTTTCCCAAAGAGTACCATTCATATCTGTGCAACTTCAAGTCGAAGCAACTTGAAAGTAGTTCCTGCACTGCTTTGGTCTGATTTTCATGTGACTTAAGGCCATAGACTTCAATGTAAACCCTCCAAAGTTGCATCAAAGTTGTGTCTACTTTGCGTCAAAGATGCATCAAGTCCAATGTAAAGTCCAATGAAATCGCACAATTTTGAAGTTGCACAAGTGTGAATGGAGCCTTACTCTGCTCTAGATGTGTTTTTTTTATTTGCTCTTTTTATTATTTCTTAGGAAGCCACATATTTCTATTCAACTCATTCAACAATTTGGTTTATTTGTTAGCTTAGTTTATTATTTTTTCTATATTTCTGAATGGAGGGCTTCAGTTAAGCTAAATTTAGCTACAATGCTACAGTTCACAAGTCTCCAGATCTGAACTGTAGATGCCCATTCCACTCTCTGCAGTTGGCTGCCTGGCATCACATGGCTTAGCTAAACATACACTATATTGCCGAAAGTATTGGGCCAGCCATCCAACTCATTGGATTCAGGTGTTCCAATCCCCTCCATGGCCACAGGTGTATACAATCAAGCCCCTAGGCATGCAGACTGCTTCTACAAACATTGGTGAAGGAATGGGTCGCTCTCAGGAGCTCAGTGACTCCAAGCGTGGTCCTGTGATAGATGGTCACCTGTGCAATAAGTCCATCCATGACATTTCCTGGCTACTAAATATTTCACGCTCAACTGTTAGTGGGATTATAACAAAGTGGAAGCAACTGGGAACAACAGCAACTCAGCCACCAAGTGGTAGGCCACGTCACATGACAGAGCGGGGGGTCAACGCATGCTGAAACGCACAGTGTGCAGAAGTCACCAACTGTCTGCAGAGTCAATAGCTAAAGACCTCCAAACTTCATGTGGCCTTCAGATTAGCACAATAGTGCGTAGAGAGCTTCACGGAATGGGTTTCCATGGCCGAGCATCTGCATCCAAGCCTTACATCACCAAGTGCAATGCAAAGCGTCAGATGCAGTGGTGTAAAGCACGCCACTACTGGACTCTAGAGCAGTGGATATGTGTTCTCTGGAGTGACGAATCACACTTCTCTGTCTGGCAGTCTGATGGACGTGTCTGGGTTCGGCTGTTGCCAGTAGAACGGTACTTGCCTGACTGAATTGTGCCAAGTGTAAAGTTTGGTGGAGGTGGGATTATGGTGTGGGGCTTGCTTTTCAGGGGATGGGCTTGGCCCCCTAGTTCCAGGGAAGGGAACTCTTAAGGCGTCAGCACACCAAAACATTTTGGACAATTTCATGCTCCCAACTTTGTGGGAAGCAGTTTGGGGATGGCCCCTTCCTGTTCCAACATGACTGCGCACCAGTGCACAAAGCAAAGTCCATAAAGACAAAAATGAGCGAGTTTGGGGTGGAGGAACTTGTCTGGCCTGCACCTCAACCCGACAGAACACCTTTGGGATGAATTAGAGCGGAGACTGCAAGCCAGGCCTTCTTGTCCAACATCAGTGCCTGACCTCACAAATGCGTTGGCTGCCTGCTTCTAGCAGTTTGTGAACTCCAGTGATTACATGAGGGCAGTGCAGCACAGAATCATGACTATTGCACCAGAGATAGGCTTGTCCACTTCCCCATTACCACTATTACCGTTCCGCACCAACCCCCTTTCCCTTAACCAATTATACTAACAAAAGACATAACACCAATTTTGGAGTAAATGGCCAACATGGCCTTTTATTAACAACTCAAGTTACAATACACCAACCATTCCTTATAACAGAAACCCACAGAATTGTTGTTGGTCTTCGAAGGCACCCCCAAAACGATCCGAAATGCACCTGCGGACAACCATATACACTAGGCCTCCAGCCGCAACCAACCAGCTCGGAGACA